AAGCATCCTTGATTACAGCAACTCTAGGTTTGAATCTGTTCTTCAGTTCTTTGAGCTTAAGAAATGCTGAGCGAGTTCGGCCCTTTTGATTTTCTGACTCTAGTTCCTCGCACATATCCTGCTAAATATACACGTGTATATATACATATACACATGGGTGTGTGTGTGTGTATATATATATATGTTACTGTTAGGTGCCTTTGAATTTAATGACTCATGGAAACCCTATGAACAACAAATCTCAACCTTGCCCTCTCCCATGCCATCTTCAACATCTCTGAGCCCATTGCTACAGTCACTGTGTCAATCCATCTCGTTGAGGGTCTTCCTCTCATTTTGCTCACCCTCCACCTTTCCAAGCATGACATCCCTCCTATGTGAGATGAAACTCTGCCATCCTTATCTCCAAATCATTCAAGATTTTGCCCATAGCATCTCTCAGTATTGCAACACAAGGTTTGAATTTGTTTTTCACTTCTTTCAACTTCAGAAATGTTCAGCTAGTTCTTCCCTTTTTATTTTCTAATTACAGCTCTTTGCATAATCCACTGTAATACTGCCTTTGAAATCTTAGGTTCATCTCTTTTATTTTTGCATTTTATTTCTTTGTTTTGGCTTCTCGACACTCCAGATCAATTTTCAGAGTCTCTTCTGACATTCATTTTGGTCTTTCTTCTCTTTGTTTTTCTAATGACATTTGCTCTCTTCATGGATTGCTTTTATTTCATCCCACAACTTGTGTGGTCTTCAATCAGTATTTAATACCTCAAACTTATTCTGGAGATTTTTAAATTCAAGTGGGATAGACTCAAAGTTATATTTTGGTACTGTGAACTTGTTTTAACTTGAATTTACACATGAGTAATTTTTAATCTGTTCCACAATCATCACCTGGCTTGGTTCCGACTGCTGATTGAGTTTCTCCAATGATTCCTTCCACAGGTGTAGTCAATCTGATCCCTGGGCAGTCCATCTGCTAAGATCCATGTGTAAAGATGCCTTTTGTGCTTTTTAAAAAAGATATTTGTTTTAAATAAATCTTCAACATACATAATTCAATCATTTGATGTTCAATCTCATGTCTATCACGCAAACTACACTTTCTGACTACCATTCTTTCCTCATTGTTTCTAACTTCTGCATTCCAGTCACTAATAATTATGAATGCATCCTGATTGCATGTTTGGTCAATTTCAGACTGTAAAAGTTGGTAGAAATCCTCAATTTCCTCCTCTTTCACTTTAGTTGTTAGTGCATTTATTTCAATAATATTTAATATTAATATTTCTAAAATTTCATATTAACAGGTCTCCCTTGTGTAAGCATGGATGGTATCTTATCACAATGTTCAACTTTAGATCTTGACATTTCACTATGAATGAAATACCATTTTTACTCAGTTTTTCATTCCTGGCATAAAAGATCAAGAGTGTCTGATTCAAAGTGCCCCATGCCAGTCCCTCTCAGGTCACAAATGCAATGGATATTAATCAGATACATATGAGCAACTGAAAATACCAAGGCTTGAATCAGGTGTAACTTCAGTCTTTAAACTGATACCTTTGTTCTTTTGAACTTTGAAGAAGTCCCTGATAGCACATTTTCCTAATACAACACATCTTTTGATTTTTTTGACTGCTGCTACCATGGGTGTTTAATGATTGGTTTTTATAGTAAAAGTATTCTAAATATTATTAAATATGTAAATTATTAAATATTATAAATATAAAAATATTTTCTATATTATCTATAAATATAGAGATTATGAGTTTAATCTACATAAGCCTTTGAAACAGACTTGAGATGACATATTGCTCATTTTCATGATGCTCATCAAAATACATAAAACATATTTTAATGTTCTTTCATGGTGTTCATAGACCCTGCACCTCTATGCTCTTTAGGGCCCCTCCTAGGATCCTTGACCATGAGTTCCTATTTCAGAAAAACGATGTGGAGGAAAAAATAGGCATGATCTTATGTGACATTTTTAAAGACCTACAAGCGGTTTGCTATAGACTTTAGAAGTAAGCTCTGGTGACCCAGTGGGTAACGAGCTGTGCTGCCACTCAAAGGAAAATGTTTTGGATCCACCAGCTGCTCCGCAGAAAGATGGGCAATACACTCATGTGAAGATCCACTAGGTCAGCTGTGAGTTTGTTCCGATTAGACAACGTTGAGTAGAATTCAGTTAAAACTTAAACTTTATGGTATATGATGGACGATGGACAACAGAAGGAGATTAACCTAGAAAAGCAGGCCAGGAACATATTACTATTTTGTATAGCTTTTTTTCATATACTCTGAGGAATGCTGTGGTTCCTCAGAAATTCTTTGAGTATTACAAACATCAGATTAAAATTTAACTTTTAAATGTGCTTCTAATTTGTAAAAGTGAAAGTTAAGTCTCTTATACTGTACAGAAAGGAAACCACAAACACATGGTCTGGTGTTTCCAGATATCTTTTTCCTTGTCTTGCTATTTCTGCTTAATGTATAGATCACTGTGGGGGGGGGGCAGGGGGGGCTACAGACATCTTACTCTTCTTTGTTCGATTGAACATTATTTTTAAAAAACAAAAGGAAAAAACTAATAATTATGATAGTGCTAAGGCCCTCTTAAACGAATTTGAACTGGTACTTTGAAAACTGTTTTAAGAATCCTGAGAAAAATATGTCTGAAGCCTCTTAGTTTTAAAAATAAATTTACATTGATTTACTAATCTGCTGTAAAACCCTGCTTTAATGAAGGATTCATTTGGCAGAAGTAAAAAAAAACACCAAAAAAACAGGTCAACAGACAAGATTAGAAATGGAAAACAACTTGGTTGTGGCTGCACAGGTTGGCAACATTCCACTGGTTCGTACAGAATAGGACTTGCAGTTTCTGCCTGCCTCAGTTTCTGGTCATATGGTCCAAAGAGATGACTGGAAATGCCAAGATACCCACCCAAGTTAAGGTGTCCCTGCTAGCCCTCACCATGACCTCATTCTACATGGCTCCTAGTTCTCATCTGTTCCCAGTACCACTACTGTCATGCAGGTATCTCATCTCTTTCTAATCCTACTGTTATACCTAGATGCTGTTACATCAAGCATCATTTTTAAGTATTATTTTCAGTCATGTACTTCCACTTAATCAGAAAAAGTTGCCAGAATGCTGGTTGAGGAGCATGTAGTTTTAGGCCTAGCTCTTCTACTTAGTTGTGTAATTTTAGGTATGTTATTTAAAATGTTCCTGAATAAACTTTCTAACCTTGAAAATGGAAGTTATCAATTAAAGATAGCGGTGTGTGTGTGTGTACTGTAGAATCAAATCCGACTGGTACAGGAGATTGTCCCTCCTTCTACAGCAGAGCATCTAGTGGGTTTGAATCACGTGCCTCTGGGATTGCAGTGCAGCTTCTTAACACTAGGCCACCAAAGCTCCCTGATGGCTCATTTAAAAAGAAAAAAAAAAGTGAAAGCTACAAACTCAACTCTCAGGAAGGTCAGATCTGTATACACAGTATCTACATATAACTGAAGATAATTTAAAAGTGACTGCAGTGTACAATGACAGGAAATTTCAAGATATTCAATCTGGATTCAGAAAAGGACACAGAATAAAAGGTAGCATTGCTCATGTCAGATAGGTCTTAGAAAAGCAGAGAATAGGAGAAAGACAATCTGCCTATTTTTTATTGACTCTGAAATACATTCTATTATGTGATGCATAACAAATTACAGGTAACACTGAAAAGAAAGACGATTCCAGAAGACTCAACTATGCTCATGTGGAGCCAGTATGACCAACTGGGAATCATTCAAAGAGAACAAGGAGATACCGTGTGACTCACAGTCAGAAAAAGTACGTTAGGGCTGTATCCTTTTATAATTCATAATCTGTAGGTTGCACTATTTTATACAGAGAATAAATATGGTTAAGGCCTTCCTGAACCTCAAGTATAAAAAAAACTCTTGGGTCAGATGCACCTTTAAACTTATTCAGGTCTAAAATTCAACCACTATCTTTGTGTCTCCATACAAACATTAAGCTACACGCAGTAAATTAAATCTGGTATCTGGTCTTGAACAGTCGTTCATGTCACTTGATGTCATGAGCACAAATAGAAATTGTCTGATTTTCAGCATGGGGTAAACTGGTACCATATCTGAGGAATACTATTAAAAATTTTAATAAGTATTCACACAATCAAAATAAAATGAAACTCCAAATCTAGAATCCATAACAAACATTTCTAAAGAAATGCAATGATAAACATGGGTATGTATGAGCGAAAACTATTCCCTTCAAATAGTCAAAATATTAAATTTTAGACAGCAATAAATTCAGGAGAGGTACAAAATTCGTTCCTTTGTGTACAAGACTGAGGTATTTGCAAAATAAGTATGAAAACTACGAGTATTAAAATCATAGAAAACTATCAAAAACTACTCAACTGTCACCTCCTACAGCTTAGTGTTAAGAACTGTGCTGCCTCCCAGAAGCCTTAGGTTCTAATCTACCAGATGCTCTGCTAGAGTAGGAGGGGCAATCTCCTCCTGTACCACTCAGATCCGATTTGATGGTACACACAAACACAAAATAATAAAGCAAAATTTAAAAAAAAAATGTGCTGCCAAAGTACACAGTTGGGATCCACCAGGTGTTCTACAGGAGAAAAATAGGCAATTTCCTCCCATGCCACTTAATGCCTCCTAAAATTTACTAGAGGATGCCAAGATTTGTGTCATATACTCTGGACATGTTATCAGGCGGGGCAGCCGGTGTTGAAAGATAAAATGCTTGTCAGTAAGAAGAAAAAAAGAGTTAAAATCCTTAAGGGATCTGGAGTGACACCAGAGGCTTGCAACAATGGGCTGAACACGAACGCCTGCGGGGACGGTGCAAGACAGACATGTTCTGTTCTGTTCCCACAGGGCCGCAGAGTCCAGAGGCCTGGACTGCATCTAACAACACAACAACTTCTGTAGCACTCCGCCCTCTGTGAAGGAGGTAACATGATGGAAAATGGGACCCCAAAGATTCATAGCTGGTGAAGTAACCTTTTTTTTTTTTCTCTATTGCTACGAAGATTCTGCCCGTCTGGACTGGCGTGTCCCACCCCAACCCAGGTGCAGTCTGCAGGGAGCTGCGCTGCTATCCCAAAGACCACGCCTCTGTGGCTGTTCAAATCCACCTGCGACTCTGCGGGAGAGGGGACCGTGTCGTTCACAGCCCCGGAGACCCCACTGACGGCCAGCTCTGGGTTGGTTCGGACTCCAAGACAAGGAGACAGCGAGCCCTCCACCCCTCCTTTCTCTCTCTGCCCGTTTTCCAGGCTAGAGCTCCAGGAAGGAGGAGGGTAAATGGAAGGGGTGAGATCTGAGCTCTCGGAGCCGAGGACGAGGTGGAGGGGGCCGGGGCAGCGGAGCGGAGAGCCGGCTCCCGCGTCACCGCTTCCCCGGGGGCGCCTCGTCCGCGCTCCTGACAGTGACGCCAGGCTACGACAAGGCAGGGCGCGCGGCCTGCCCGCACCGGCTTCCGAACCTCAACCGGGAGAAATCCCCGACTGCGCTCGGACACCTTGCAACGCCTCGCCGCTACGTGTAACCTACAGACCTGGCGTAGCTGAGCCGCGGGACAGAGAATGACACTTACTTCATGCAACTCCGCCCTGGCCGCTTCCGGCCTGTCCACATCGCCCATCGCGCAGACTCTGTCGGAGCTGCAGTGCCTAACGGAACACAGGACGCAGAGCACCTCCCACAAGCACCCGGCTCGGGCGGCCGGCACGGCGAGGCCCGCCCCGCCCCCAGCGGGGAACCTGTACACGCCTGGAGGGTCCCGCCCCGCTCCCTGCGCCGGCCCCGCCTCCGCCTCCCGCCTGTCCACCGGACAACTTCCCCTGCCTAGTCCCACCGCGCCAACCTAACCACAGGGACCCTACAACATAGGTACCCTCTGACCCCATCCCACAGCGCTGGCCTCGCCCACCGAGCCATGGGCGTCGCTTCAGAAACTGTTCTGCTCAGACCAGCTCCGCCCTCACCTCTTCGCCAAGCTCCCTTCACCACTCAAGGCTCGCCTTAGGGGTCCACCTACCAATACAGCCTCGCTCCGCCCCATTGCGCTGGGCCCGCCTCTGGATTGGACTACTCATAGCAGCCCCTCTGCTCCGGTCCCACCCTGGGAACACTCCCACTCTAACAGGCCCCGCCTCGGTGACCACGCCCACTCAGGTAGCCCCTCCGCCCTCCCGTCCCATTGCTCCGGGCCTCGCCTCAGAGACACGCCTATCCTGGCAGGCCCCGCCCCACTGCTCCGACCCCGCCTCAGCGACCCCCCCACCAGTTTCTCTGGCCCCGCCTCAGGAACACGCCCACTCCGGTAGGCCCCGCCTCAGGGACATGCCCACTCCGATAGGCCCCCACCTTAGAGACACGCCTACCCCGGCAGGTCCCGCCCCACTGATCCGGCCATGTCCTGGGATACGCCCATCCAGACAGGTCCCGCCCCTCAGCTCCGCCTCACTTCAAGTGCCGTCTGACTCTTTCCTATCTGTTCGTACCAGCCCCGCCTCAGCAACCCGCCCTCTCCAACTGTCCCCGCCTCTCGGCAGTTCCTGAGGCCTTAACTTGTCCTCAAGTCAGTGTCGCCTAGTCCAGATTCACCAAGTCACTTCTCCAGGTCGCGATTCCCCAGGTAGTCTTCGCCCTGCCCCAGGAATACGGTATGTCGTAATGCGCAAACTCGGCGTGTCGACCACCGAGGAGGAAATAAGAACATCTTTTTGTTAAAAAACATCTTCTGATATATGAGGTGGTGAAAAACACTATTACATTATTGGTAAAATAAGCCACACCCTTAAATTAATGAAGAAAAGAGGGGCTTGTTTTTTCATGTAAGCCACCGATAAAAAGCACGTAATTGACGTAGTTTGTGAGAATGGGGCAGCTGGGGTTTAAGAGAAGATGACTCAATTCAGAACTTTGAAATGTCTGTGGGCGTGTTTCATCAAACTAAGCTTTCCGTAATATTGACCATAGTTCTTATTTATTGTTCTTACAAAGCGCCCTGTAATAACAGGATATGTGAATAAATTCACTTACTCTGTATTGAAGACAGCCTCTTGTCAAGTTAAAAGTGGTGGCAGAAGAAATACTAGCATAGCGGTAGTAAACTAAGATTAATGATGACGACAGTAATTTGGTTGAAGTGCTAATAACTTGGTCTCAAGAGCACTATTCAAAAATAACTAAAATAGAAAGAAAATATTGTTACATTTAATAAATACAAGATGTACCAGTTCTGTTCAGGTAGCTTTACATTGAAATGAATGGGGGTACTTGTCGTATGGACAACTAGCTGTCTGAAGTATGGTAAAATAGGACAGAAAAGTTGTTTATGCTTCTAAAACTGACCCAGAACTCTACCCCTAAGGAGGGAGAGAGTTGTTCTTTCTTTCTTAGGCTTCTAAGTAAGTCCCGAGCTAAATGTATGTTTGTGTGTGTGTGTGTGTGTGTGTGTGTGTGTGTGTGTGTAAATTTCATCTCAAAGTGAAGTAGCTTACCTCTGGTCACACAACAAATAACTAAGAGCTCAGATTAATTGATTTGATATATCCTACATGCCTACTATATGTCAGGCATCATTTTGGTATTGAAGATGCAAAAGTGCATGAGCTTAGTGAAAAAAGAATGTGACTCTAGAGCCAGATCATCATGGGCTTAAATTTATTAGCATTGTTAACTTGGGCTAGTTACATAGCCTCTCTATGACTCAGTTTTCTCATTAGTAGAATTACAAGAATTTCTTAATATAATTCAAAATAGTGTTGTGGGGATTCGATAATATATTCCTTTGTATGATTTACTAGAGAACTCTGGTGGGCTAGTCTGTAGGGAGTCTGCACTGCAAATATAAAGGCTCTGCTTCTCTGGCAGTTCAACTCCCCTAGGTGCTCCGGAGGAGAAATGGGCAATCTTCTGTGCAGTTACAGCCTCGGAAACCCAACGGGTCAGTTCTGAGTCGGTTTCAACTCAACAGCAGTAAGTGACAGTAAGTGAGTGAATGAGTGGAAACATGGATCAGATTGGATTGGGATGGCTCTGATGCAAATGGTGGTTTCTAAGTATACTAACTACCAAGAAGGCTAGCCCAAATTTACATCCCAGAAAAATTGACCAAATTAAGATGCTTGAATCATATGGCTTATTGAATCTATCTAAAACACAATGTTTTAAGCAGGGAGGAAGATATTAAGTAGGCTCATATAATTTAGGAGGAACCACTGATGTTTACTGGAAAAGAGTTGTGTTGCCAACCCAAAGACTAGCGATTTAACTCTGTCAGCCACTCTATGGGAGAACATGAGCACTTTCCTCCTGTGTGATTTACAGCCTCTGAAAACTTTGCTGGAGGGTTAGCTATAACTTGGGATTTGAAAGCTCCTAACAACAACGTGGGAAAAGGAAGGATTATAATAACCATGTTATCTGAATTTTATGTCGCTCAGTGTTCATATGCCCTGTATTTGTTGCATCAGCCTTTCTAGCTGGTCGAGTGGAGGAAGAGAGTTGAGAATGAGCAAGGGACTCAGCAGGCAAGAAGGTGCTTGGTACCAACATACACTTTACTCTTTGGGAGAAATTCAGGAGCAAGCTTGCCTGGTCACAACTGTAACTTGCCATAAATTATTAGCTGGCTATACAGGTATGGATTTTTCCTCTGTTTCTCAGGCAGAGTATATGTGGGGTCAGAATGCAAGTCACCAGTGGGTGAGGTGGCTAATAGGTATAAACATAGTTGTTAATCTGAAAGTAACGTGATCTGTACTTTATGAATACTTACGGCTTTGTGGGCCCTTTAAGGCCTTTCTGTGTGTTTCCAGCACTCATTTATTGCGTTTTAGAAATTCATGTTCAATACACATTACATTTATCCTGTCTTTAACATGCCTTACAGGCTATTGTTTTGTTGTTGGATGCTGTCAAGTTGAGTACAACTCATAACGATCCTAGTAACACCAGATCTGAACCCTGTCCTGTCCGTAGGGCCATCCTCATAGTCTATGACACACGCAAGCCCATTGCTGCAGACACTGTGTTGGTCCACCTATTAAGGGTCTTCCTGTCCTTCAACATCCCTCAACTTTTCCAAGCATACTTAGCAACATGCCCTAAGTATGCGAGATGAAGCTTTGCCATCCTGATCTCCAGAGAGGACTCTGGCTGCACTTTGTCTAAGACATACCTGGTTGCTCTTTGGACAGTCCATGGGATATTCAGTATTCTTCTCCAGCTCCACAGTTCAAAGGCATCAGCTATTCTTCTGTCAGGGACACCTTAGTCCTTCAGGCTGATATCATCGCTCCTCAGTAATTTAGAGAGCCCCCTCACTGCAGACCTTCCCAGTGCAATACATCACCTCATATCCTGGCTGCTGGTACCAAGGGTATTTTTTGTAGATCCAAGTAAGATGAATTGGTCCAGCGGTGAGAATTTTTTACATTGAGATGCAATCCCTACTGAAGGCTGCAGTATTTGATCATCTGCAGCAAGTGCTTCAAGTTCTCACTTTCAGCAAGCAAAGTTGTGTCATCTGCATACTCAAGGTTATTGATGAGTCTTCCTCCAATACTGATGCCACTTCTTCATACAGTGCTGCTTTTCGAATTATTTGCCCAGCATACTGATTGAATAGGTATGGGAAAAGGATTCAACTCTGATGCTTTTTTTCTCCTTCATTTTAAACCATAGTGTTCCTTTGCTCTGTTTACATAACAGCCTTTTGATCTAGGTATAGGTTTTATAAGATACAAGTAAGTGTTCTGGGATTTCCATTCTTCTCAGTGTTAGCCATAATTTGTTATGATCAACACAGTACAGATGTCTGGCTTAATAAATATACTAAGTAAATGTCTTAGAAATCTCATTATGTCTCAAACTATTTTCTTCCATGGTTGGTTTCTATTTCTATAGCAGGACTGAATGTTTTGAAATAATCCAGCTAAGTGCATATTTCATTACTTGTAACAGTGCATAGCAATTTTTGCTTAGCACTGTCAAGTAGAATTGCCCCATCTGGTATTCTTGACCAGCGTCAGGATGGATGGCGAAGAGATTGAGATTGTTCACAGCTTCACTTTGCTCGGCTCCACAGTCAACACTCTTGGCACCAGCAGTCAGGAAATCAAAAAGCGTATCATGATGGGAAAGTCTGCTGTTAGGGACCCCTCTAAAGTACTCAAGAGCAACAGTGTCTCTCCGGAGACTAAGGTGCACCTGATACAGACCATGGTCTTTGCAATCGCTTGTTATGCATCAGAGAGTTGGACAATGACTAGGGAGGACAGAAGGAGAATTGATGCCTTTGAGCTGTGGTACTGGAGAAGAGTATTGAATGTACCATGGACTGCCAGGAAAACAAACAGATTCATCTTGGAGAGGATTAAACCAAGCAACTCTTTGGAGGTAAGGATTCTGGGGTTTCGTCTGACATACTTTGGACATGTCGCCAGGAGGGACGGGTCCTTGGAGAGGGACATCATGCTTGGGAGGGTGGAGGGACAGCGCAGGAGGGGAAGACCCTCTATGAGATGGATCGATTCGGTGACTGGGGTAATCGGGATGGGTGTGTCGGAGGCAGTGCGGTTGGCGCAGGATAGGGCAGGGTTTAGGGCTGTTGTGCATAGGGTCGCTATGAGTCGAAAACGACTCGACGGCACATAACAACAATCTTTATACAGCATACCACCGGGTCTTTATCCCTAAGAGCCTGGTATCTTCATACTACCAACTTCTTTCTTAGCAGTCAGGCACTAAATGGTTGCACCACCAGGATGTCTTTGGCATTAGCAGGCTAATGTTACTCATGTCCCCAAGATGTTTAGTTAATACTCACTGACTGCTGTCAGATTGATTCCAGCGCATAGCAACCCTACCTTGAGTTTCAGGGAGTAAATCTCACTGGCAAGAAACTGCCTATCTTCTTCTCAAGTAGGAGAATGAAAAGTATAGGACGGGTTAAACCAACAGTTTTTATGTTAGCAGTGCAAGACCCTATGCTCTACACAAGAACTACTTATAACAAGCAAATATAAAAACTTCAAATGTGTAACAAGAAGATCCTATTTCTTCATATAGCCTGTGCACATTTTCTTTTCCAAAATGACCACAAGACAATTTCTGGTCCTATATACTCTTCCAGAATTTTTAAACTCTTATCAAAGTGTGTGGAGTTTAATACTTCTCCCTTTAAATAACCAGGCAAAACTGTCTTTCTTTTGGGGAAGTTCATGTTTGCAAACCAGGCATCATACTTGGAGAAAGCCAGAGTTTACAGAGCTATGTGGAAAAGAACCGAGGGATATGGTCCGGTGAGCATCAGTGTCAGGATGAAGAGAAAACCTTTGGAGAGTGACTTGTCAACAAATCTTTCAACCAAAATTCCAGACATCATGGAACTAGAGATAAGCCATTACAACTGTCTTGCCCAAATTTCTAGCTCATGGAATCAGTGAACATAACAAATGATTATTTAATGCTATTAAATGTTGCTACAATTTGTCATCTGAACAGTCTCCATTCCACTTGCAGAGTTATATGTGAGTGACTTAAGCAGTATTGCCTGTGGCACAGAAAATGTCACTGCAGGCTACGACTAGCTTATTTTGAGCCATTTTTTTTAGTAGATAAATAATCATTCATTAACTGTAAATGATGTAGTAATCCCTTCTGAAGAAAAATAATTTTTACTGCCACTTCATATGGGTGTAAATCATCAATATTGTTAAATATGTACAAACATAAACCAGGTATAAACTAAAGATTTTAGAGCATTATTCATCTATAAATTTGTATATTAAATACAAACATGATTATAGAAATGGTAAAACTGAAATTAATAACTTTAATCAACAAGCAATGTTATCTTGCTTAAGTGAAAATCTGTCATTGTGAATTCTGTAATCACTATAAATGGAACATGGTTTTTTTTGCATTCGTTTTGGGAGAGGACTTTTTTTTTTCATAGCAACAGCTCACTTGTGAGCCTTTCATGAGGAACCAGTATATCATTTGCATATCATTATGTAAATAAGCTTACCTTTTTAACCTCCTTCAATCATTTAAAAGTAGTACTGCTTAACTGCAATCATATAATCAACCAGATAGTCCAATATTCATGTCTTAAAAATGCAAATAAAACCCCTGTTGAAAATTGACAAATCTTGACTTTTTGAAGACCAGTAGGAAAAAGAAGCCAAACATCATGTAGAAGACAAATTTAAAAGCAGGAAATTAGTTTAGAACTAATTGGAATAGTCTAGGTGCTAAAATGCAAATTTGAAATAAGGCAGTAGCAGTGTAGAACGCAAGATTAATCAGTGGTTTGTGCAGGTGAGACAATTTTAGGACAAGGTAAATTTCTGGTGGTAAAGCATTGCACTGTGATCTCAGAGGCAAGGTCCAAACCCACCAGCTAGCTGAGAAAATGGGAGTCTCCTCCTGTGCAATGCACAGCCTCATTCTGACCCAAGGGCAACCGAGTTTGGGTTGTTTGGGGTATTTTGTCTTCTAAGTTTCTTGTTTACAAAGTTAATTAGCTAGCAATGCCTTTCGCCAAAGAAAGTAAAAGATGGATGGGTAGGTTTAGTATGAGTTCATGGCGAGAAGCTGTACTGCCATCTTAGAGGTATGTGGTTCGAATCCACCAGATGCTCTGCTGGAGAAGGAGGGGCAGTCTCTTCCCATACCAGTCAGATCTGATTTGACAGTACACACACACAATTAATTAAAAAAAAAAACACTGAGTTCATGATGCCATGACCAACCCAAACTGTCTATTCCAGTGGTTCAGAAGTGACTGGCCCAGTCAGATGTGATCACTTCTTCAGTGCCATACTTGGCTTTTCACATCCACTACTAAATTGATCTTTTTATTTGGTACTCTCAAATCAGCTCCCATTCCTAACTGACCCTCCAGAGGGTTTTCAGAAGCATTGACTGGCATCAGAGGAGATAGCCCACCTTTCTCTCACGGAGCAGCTGGTGGGTCAGGGCTTTGTTCCTTTGTGTCAGCAGTGCATCTCCTTACCAATAAGCCACCAAAGCTCCCATAAACTGGAATACCATAGAAAATGCCTACGATTTCTTGTTGCACCATTAAATACTCATCTCAATATAGAAAATATTCCCCCTGAACTGCTTCCTAGTAAGTTGCCGACAAGTCTAAACTAAATGCAGAAGTAAGAAATCACTTTTTTATTTATTATAGTGTGAAGTCTTATATAGTTGTTATGAAGACAGTTTCCAGAGTGGAACATTAAGGTTTAACATTTCAGATATAAAAATCAGACACACACACACAGAGGGGCTGCCATGTGACAATGAAGGCATTAACAAGGTAAGAAACACCAGACTGCCAGAAAGCACCGGCCCTGTCAGCACTTGAATTACAGATGTATAGCTCAAGTCTGCAAGACAGTAAATTTCTAATAGTTTAAGCCACTCTCTCCCCCAACAGCAACAAAAACCCTACTGCAGAAGAGCAGAATCCAGGTGATAATATGATTAGCAGCAAGGATACAATCATGCATACCTAAATTGGATTGGTCACTGGTACTGATTCACTCAAATATTAGCGCTTAGAGACCCAAAGGCAAATGAACTAACACTTAAAAGAACTTAGAGCCTTAGAAAGGGAAAGAAAATACTAGCAGAGCACCCACCCCCCCAAAACCATTTAACATTGCTTGTGACTCACAGTGACCACATGGAGCTAAGAAATGCCCTAGAGCATTTCCAGTGCTGTAATCTTTATTGGAAGTGGGCTATTATTACATCGCTCCCCTGTAGAGTAGCTGGTGGTTTTGAACCTCCAACCTTTGTTTAGCAGCCAAGTACTTAGAATATCTAGATCCCTCTAATGAGGATGATAGAGGATAAGTTAAGGAAGATTTCCTGGGGAGATGGCTATGATAAAAATTTCTAGCTACCACTGAAGACTTTTGAAGAAATTTATATAATGAAAGCATAGTTTCTTTGAACATGAAAATATCTGAAAGGCCTGCAGATGTCAGAACCTGAATCAGAACAGGGTGAGAGGAAGCACAAGCTTTAGGAATCTACATTAACCAGTTCCACAGGTGAATCTTATGCATACAGAAGCTTGAGAACAACTGTTTAAAGGGAGATATGTTTGAGTATATCTATAAATTACTGACTACCATTAACCCCCCCCCCACACACACACACAGACAATATAGTCTTACCTCTCTAGACAAAGAATTTAGAGTTGTTCAGAATTAACACAAAAGAGTGAAATCATATTTTAGAGGTAGCAATTTTTTTAAACCCTCAGTAAAGTTCATTCTTGGTCTTCTCATCCTTAATTCATTTTCAATTCTATTAAATTTAACCACTAAACAAGACCAAAAGAGAACTTTATTTTACATGACTTTATTTTACATTTTATGCTTTAAAAAAAAAAACAAAAAAAAAAACCAACCAAAAAACTCACTTTGCTTTCAATATTCCTAAGAGCATTTTAACCAAAATCTTGATTTAGGAAGACTTAAGACATTGTGCATTATTTTAAATTATTTTCATTCTTTCAGCAACTATTAAAAATAAGCTCACAATTAGGGTGTCAAGTGACCTAATTCTATTTTTTATCATTTAATATTTTATCAATCCTATCATATGCATACAGAGGTTATGGTGATATATAATGTTATCCTCTAAACACAATCCTAATTTGCTCTTAATCTAAGTACTATTTCATTTATTCAGAAATAGCATTTAGACATAGCCACCATTATCTCATGTTGTAAAATGACCTTTGGTTAATTTACACAAATCTAATACAGCATATGTTGTGTAAGTTTTAAGAAATACAATGCATTTCAACTCATCATTTTGGCCTTGATGCATTATGTCAGCAAGGCTGAGAATATCATGTGGTTCAGTCTTCTGAAGGAAGTTATATAATAAAAGCCTAGTGTCTTTGAACATGGAAGCTATCTGAAAGGCCAGTCCTATACAGGAACTGAAAAACAGGATAATTTCTCGTTCTTAATATATGAATTTGTCATGTTTATTGGAAGTTTTCTGTACGCCAAGTGAATAAAGTTTCTAAACTCCAAGTATTTAGGGATACTGACCCTTAGGTACATAATTAATAGGTCATCGAAAACAATCTGTCAGTTATTAACTTTATATGATGACAACTTCCTATGGCAGCCCAAGGTCACCCCTCACTTCCTCCATTTGTAAAAAGATAAGATGGCCTGGCTAGTGCCATTAAGGAGTCTCTGCTAACTGTAAAATGTGGACAGATTTTCTTCTCTTTCTTATAGTGCAAGTGTATATAAAGTTTCAATCCTTTAAATCAAAAATTTTTATGCACATAACTGTGTCTGGTGTATTGCCCTTAGTTTAAAAATGTACAACTACATAAATAAAAACTATTGTTTCTTTAATATTACTTGACATTTCTTCTGTAATTTATTTAAAAAAGTAAATGTAACAAGATACTTAAAAAAGGCTAGATACAAAAGTAGTTAAGCTGCTCACGAACATTTAAAATTTTCCAAAATGTATCTTCATAATCATGATCTTATAAAACATTTTACAGTTATCAGAAAGTGCCCAGGCTGAGTTTACATAACTGAAATACCTTAGTACAAATGTCTAGTTAGAACTGAAGTGCAGTTACCTAACTGACTGTTTGCTGGAATAGGGATACAAAGGAGGGTTAGGGGGGAAGGAGTTGATTGTGATAAAGTATTGTGCATTGGCCCCATCATATGTACAAAAAAAGTGCCCTCACTCAAATGAACAGATTACATGCAAAATATTAGTGATATCTTCTAATACCCTAGAGCTCAATGCAGCCAAGAGAAACCTCAACAAAAGTGGTTTTTATAGGTAAAAGTGATTTCATATCTAAGATTTGAAGGTCAAGAACTTTTTACAAAGTTCCATATACATGATACACAATTGCAGCCAACCACAAATTAAACACCATAAAAAAGTTAAAATGAAACAGAGAACATACTTAATTTTTTATTTTGAAATTCCCTATTCCCTCTATACAAGAACCTTTGCCGAAACACTTTCCACAAAGGCAGCAGTGAATTTTCAGAACATTTTACATTTTTTCCCCTCAGCAAAAAGATAAATCACAGTGTAAATTATGTTGTTCTGCTGTCATCTTTGGCTGGGGTTAGACCCAGAAGTTGTTGACCA